AATGTATCAGTTACAGAGATGAGACAAACAATTTCACACTAACAGGTGTGCTTACAAAGATCAGCTTTTATGTATTTATGTAAAATCTTTATCTTAAAAAGAAAAAAAACTGTAACTGAATATAAAGTATTAGCTGAAGTTTGGCTTCTGTGTATTTAAATCTGCTAGTACATCCAACATTACTCTCCCCCCAGATTAACAATGTTTCTGTCCAAATGTGCCCCCTGTGCTCCTTCATCCAAAGTGTGGTGCTCTAAGGGCTTGTTCACACTTGACTTCTTCCCAAGCGTTCCTTATAGCGTTTGACAGGCGTTAGGCAGTTGGGGAGCATTTTTAACACTACCCAAATACTCCCCAAACACCTTATGCGTGTTTTTGAGGCGTTTCCCAAGCTTTAAAACTGCACCACAAACGCCTATAATGAAGTTAATGGTATTAACTCCCCGCAAATGCCCCGCAAACGCCGGCCAGCCGTTTGAGGAGCGTCAACATAGACTTGAATGGGAGGCTAACAACCAAGGCTTATAACTAACCCCAAAACTTTTTTTTTTTATTTTTTTTAGTTTTTGATAGACTGGAGAGAGGGTATAAAATCTGTTATGTTTTATTGTTGCCTGCGCCCCTGTTTGGGAGATTCACTCTCTCTATTAGTCCTGTTTGCCAGTTTTGCTGAAAATAAAAGGTTGTCCGCAGAACAGGAATTTTAGGGATATCTTCCAATGGGAATGTGAATTTTTATGATGCTGGTGACAACTGGGGATACCTTCACTTTGGAGGGATTTTCTCTCACTTCCTTTGTTGGCTATGGACAGGAAGTGTAGGGAAATCTCCCCAACGGGACAGAGACGGTAAAAAAAAAACCTTACCCTCCCCTACTCTATTCAAAATGAAAAAAGTTTAGCCTTTAGTGCTACTTTCATTTCACAATCTCATAATAACTGCAATTAGAGGAAATTATATTTGTTTTGCCAGAAAACAGTTTTTTTTATTCATATACATTGCTGGACTACAGGTATAGCATTTTTTGTTTGTTTGTTTTTTTGAATAGAGTAGGGAAGAATTAGAATCTTCATTTGCTGTTTTTGCTTCTGCTGGGGACATTTTCCCTCAAGAACAGATATGGGGGGGGGGGGTGGTGGGACACCAGAGTTTAAAAGACAGGTAATAATCTCTCTCTCTCTCTCTCTCTCTCTCTCCCCATACATACATACATACATAAACACACACACACTCACCGGACTCTTTATTAGGTATACCTGTTCAATTGCTTTCTGACACAAATTGCTAATCAGCCAATCACATGGCACCAACTCAATGCATTTAGGTTTCTAGACGTGGTGAAGACAACTTGCTGAAGTTCAAACTGAGAATCAGAATGAAAGGGGATTTAACTGACTTTGAATGTAGCATGGTTGTTGGTGCCGGACAGGCTGGTCTGAGTATTTCATAAACTACTGATCTACTGGGATTTTCACGCACAAACATCTCTAGGGTTTGCACATAATGGTCCAAAAAAGAGAAAATATCCAGTGAGTGGCAGTTGTGTGGACGAAAATGCCTTGTTGATGTCAGAGGTCTCGTTACAACCAAGGTATGTAGAATACCATCACTGAGCACACAACATGTCGAACCTTGACGGGCAGTCTTAGAAGAAAACCTGTTAGAGTCTGCAAAAGACTTGAAACTGGGGCGGAGGTTCACCTTCCAGCAGGACAACGACCCTAAACCTACAGCCAGAGTTACAATGGAATGGTTTAGATCAAAGCATATTCTTGTGTTAGAATGGCCCAGTCACAGTCCAGACCTAAATCCCACTGAGAATCTGTGGCAAGACATGAAAATTGCTGTTCACAGACGCTCTCCATCCAATCTGACAGAGCTTGAGCTATTTTTCAAAGAAGAATGGGCAAAAAGATCCCTCTCTAGATGTACAAAGCTGGTAGAGACATCCCCAAAAAGACTTGCAGCTGTAATTGCAGCAAAAGGTGGTTCTACAAAGTACTGACTCCAGCAGGCTGAATACAAATGCACGCCGCACCTTTCAGATAGTTATTTGTAAAAAATTTTGAAAACCGTTTATCATTTTCCTTCCACTTCACAATTATGTGCCACTTTGTGTTGGTCTATCACATAAAATCCCAATAAAATACATTTACGTTTTTGGTTGTAACCTATATATATATATATATATATATATATATATATATATATATATATATATATATATAGCTTTACCCTTATACTAACCTTTCCTGACTCGACTAAAAAATGGTTTTGCTGCAGTCTTTATACCCATTAGGAATACAGTTGTGCTGAAACGTTCGCAAGATTTCTGGAAGAAATCATGACATTTTGGCATTGATTATGAAAATGTGACTGATCATGCCAAAAATCTGTCTTTTATTTAAGGATAGTAATCATATGAAGCCATTCATTATTTGATAGTTGTTTGGCTCCTTTTTAAATCATAATGATAACAGAAATCACCCAAATGGCCATGATCAAACACACACACAAGGTGACACACAAGATGACACACACAGGTTAACATGCAAATTAAAGGTTAATTCCCACATCTATTGCTTTTTAAATTGCAATTAGTGTGTAAAAATACTCAATGAGTTTGTTAGCTCTCACATTGGGAAACTGAGCAGGCTAGATACTGAGCCATGGGGAGCAGAAAAGAACTGTCAAAAGACCTGTGTAACAAGGTAATGGAACTTTATAAAGATGGAAAAGGATATAAAAAGATATCCAAAGCCTTGAAAATGCCAGTCAGTACTGTTCAATCACTTAATAAGTGCAAAATTCGGAGATCTCTTGATACCAAGCCAAGCACAGGTAGAAAAAAAAAAAGATTGCAACCACAACTGCCAGAAGAATTGTTTTCGGATACAAAGAAAAACGCAAAGTTAACCAGGTAACAAAGAAATACAAGCTGCTCTTGAAAAAAACAATTTGGTTGTTTCAAGAGCACAATATAATGATACTTGAACAAAAATGAGCTGCATGGTTGAGTTGCCAGAAAGAAGTATTTACTGCACCAATGCCACAAAAAAAAGCCAAGTGAGGGGTGTCAAGGTATTGTTCAGCATATTTTAACTGGGCTTTTTTATGGCATTATCACAAGGCTGGTCTAAAAAATGAGCTGTAAAATTATGTATGGAAGCATAGTCTTTATCAACCGCTGGTGCCCTCAGTTGATAAAACCATTGAGGTCCGCACAGAAAGAACAAGAGGGCCACATAAAGCCCAAAGAACACCGGTTTGATATGCTTGTTCTTATAGTGGAACATTAAGCTGTGCAGGGATGAACTGTCTTGATTCTGACAACAGTTGCAGACAAGTTCTTATGAAAGATGTGTGCTATGAATGGCTAAAACTCTGTCATAGCTCAGTAATGACAAAGATTCCATTAAACAGACTGGAGTGTGATCTGTTCTGCCAGGCATCTGATTACGGCACTGTGCATTCCGCCATTTCCTAATGAGCATTCCGCTCTGGGCTGTATTGGAGACTTTTATCCCGCATTTATTTGTCCTTCATGTTCCACTCTATTTCAGGATTGCTCTTGAAAAGGGGCTAGAACAACAGATGTTAAGGAAATCCTATTGAAATTGCAGAGTATAACAACTCTCAAGACTATGCATTATAGTTTAGGCACCCCATGAACACATGGTGGTCATCTCCACAAAATACGACTAGATTTATATACAGTTCATTAAACGATGTTCCAATTATTTTCAAAACTCATTAAGGACATGGCCTACCTGCTTTATGACTCCAATTTTAATTGGAGGAGGAGCCAAAAATCCCTGGAGGGGGACTCGAGAAGAGGAGGATCAGAGCCACTCTGTGCAATACCACTGTACACAACAGGTGACTATAACATGTTTGTTATTTTAGTTTTTAAAAAATTGCCTTTAGTAACACTTTAACTGAAAGCACAAGCAATCTCATCTTATTTGTGTAAAGTACTAGTTCCATCAATCCCCCATGTAATGTAGATGAACAAAATCTACAGCCATGGCTTCCAGCATAGATGCACGGGAGAAATTAGTGTAGACATGATGGGACAAGAAATATGTTATTAGCAGGATTATCAGGTGAAAATAAAGAGAAAAGCTGCAAAATGTAACATTTTTGTTTTCGGGTTTAGATAGGCTTTAATTGCTCTTTCATTTTTTTGTTGGGAAATCATGGAAAAGTCGTTTAGCCTGTTCACTGTTTGCAGTTGCTCTGCTTTCTAAGAGCAAATATAGTACCATATTTTTTGCTCCATAAGACGCACTTGACCATAAGATGCACCTAGGTTTTAGAGGATGAAAACAAAAAAAATATTCTGAACCAATGGACTGCAGACATAGTACAGGAGATGACCAGAGACTGTGGACATAGTACAGGAGATGACCAGAGACTGCGGACATATTACAGGAGATGACCAGAGACTGCGGACATATTACAGGAGATGACCAGAGACTGCTGACATAGTACAGGAGATGACCAGAGACTGCAGACATAGTACAGGAGATGACCAGAGACTGTGGACATAGTACAGGAGATGACCAGAGACTGCAGACACAGTACAGGAGATGACCAGAGACTGCGGACACAGTACAGGAGATGACCAGACACTGCAGACATACTACAGGAGATGACCAGAGACTGTGGACATACTACAGGCGATGATCAGAGACTGCAGACATAGTACAGGCGATGACCAGAGACTGCAGATGTAGTACAGGCGATGACCAGAGACTGCAGATGTAGTACAGGAGATGACCAGAGACTGTGGACATAGTACAGGAGATGACCAGAGACTGTGGACATAGTACAGGAGATGACCAGAGACTGCGGACATAGTACAGGAGATGACCAGATACTGCAGACATACTACAGGAGATGACCAGAGACTGCGGACATAGTACAGGAGATGACCAGAGACTGCGGACATAGTACAGGAGATGACCAGAGACTGCGGACATAGTACAGGAGATGACCAGAGACTGCGGACATAGTACAGGAGATGACCAGAGACTGCGGACATAGTACAGGAGATGACCAGAGACTGCGGACACAGTACAGGAGATGACCAGAGACTGCGGACATACTACAGGAGATGACCAGACACTGCAGACATACTACAGGAGATGACCAGAGACTGCGGACGTACTACAGGCGATGACCAGAGACTGCAGATGTAGTACAGGAGATGACCGGAGACTGTGGACATAGTACAGGAGATAACCAGAGACGGCAGACCTTTGGGGAGCCGGGGGGTGGGTACCCGAATTTGACAGGTACCCACTGCGATCGCCTCTCTCCTTGTAGACTTTTGGGACACATGACAGGTCCCAGAAAATGACGGGACCTTTCAAAAAGTGCAGCGCTTCTTGCGCATGCGTAGTGTGTATCCGGCTGTGAAGCCACAAGCTGTCAGAGCCGGGTGCCCACACTAAAGATGCTAGCCTCAGGGAGAGAAGATGGCCGGTGAGGACACCGTTGGACCAAGGAACAGGTAGGACTGAGGAGCAGGTTCTGCTGCACAGAAGAGCCGAGCAGCCGACCCCATATTCTAACACGGCGGCGGTGGCAGTGGTGAGATTTCTGGGCTGGCCGCTCCATATTTGCTCCATAAGATGCACAGACATTTCCCCCCATTTCTTGTAAGGGTTCCCACTGTGTATGTGTGAGCCGCCCTGTTCCTCCTGAAGTCATATGGAACCTGTGATGTGGGCTGCAAGGTAAGGAGGGGCGGCTGAACTTCAAAACCAGGTACTCGCTCTCCCCACCCCCAAAAAAACTTCCAATAATTAAAGAGGGGGGGAGGATGCAAAGAAGTGGAACTTCCCTTTTTGGGTAAAGTTCTGCTTTAAGGGAGACAGTGAATACAGAGCAATCAATTCAACTTAGGCCAATAATAGCCTAGCACTGAATTTACAGAATCATTTCTGCTTAGGGTAGGGTGGCTACGTCAATAAACCAGAACATTTTCATCAATTTTACAGATTCAAATAAATGTAATAGTTTGAAAAAATAATTAAGATGAAAACCAAAATCAATCACAGACTGAAATCCCATCAGACAATTTGACAGTACATAGAGCACTATGTACTGTACATGTTCACCCCTCATTATGTGAAAGAGAGTGAGTACAAAATCATAAAACAATTAGCAGCAAAGGTCCTACAGCTTCAGGTAACCCCCCCCCCACCTCCCCCACTCACACACCTCCCAAGTGACATGTGCATTGGGCCATTCTGCTCCCTACATAATTTTAGACCTGGGGGTATGAACAAGCCTTAAACAAATAAAATCACAATAAACAATGAAAATAACATCAACATTTAATTCAATTAGACAATACAGTTTAGCATACTTTAGCACATTTTAAGTACAGGCTTGCAGGGGGAGAGCTTGCTCTGTGTGAGGTTGGGGAAGGGGGGAAGTAGACAGGTGAGTTTAGAGGACACAGTGGAATCAGGGTGGGTGACACCAGTATGTGAACAATCATTAGTAGTATAAACTGCAGGTAGGAGGTGTAGGAGGTGGCACAGTGCCTGCAAAACAGTAAGCGGCGAAAAATCACACAAGACACAAGCTCCCACCAGGATACATCTGCATGACTTTTCAAAACGCTTGGCAGATGTTATCATTCTTCTAAGTGTTTCAATTATGTTCTAGATGTTTTGCTAAAGTTATCCTCTAAAAGAGAACATTTAGCTTGTTGCAGCTATTTCACTCTCATAATTCTGCCCATCTAATTCCTTTGCAAGAAGTCCATTCAAACATTTACAAACTTTACTGAGTCCTGTTGAAAGGGAGCGCGTTTTGCCCTTGAAATACGTTGGCTGTCTTGTGACTCAATAAAGCCAAATTTTTTTCCCTAAAGGATAAGTTCACCTTTTGTAGCATTACCCATATTCAGGGTGTAACATGTAACGAACGGACAGGCCCCCGCACCCCCGATTCCTGCTGTGACTTGTTTCCCCCTGCTAGCTGTCATAATGTTTTAAGAAGTGGCGTGCGGGGCTCTGCCCTCCCGGCAGTGGTGTATTTAGGATTTGTGCTGCCCTAGGCAACACAAAATTCACCCCCATCCCCCAGAGAGAGCCTGACATTGACCAACAAACACCGCTACCTCCCCCCCGAGAGAGCCTTCCACTACCATCGCCCCTATACACTGGCCACTCCCCTCCAAGCAAGAGAGAGAAAGACACTCACCTTCACAGTTCTGGACATCCCCGGAATGAGAGTCAAGCAGCCTGCATCCTCTCTCAGATCCCATCTGGTCCCCAAACTGCATGTGTCCCTTCTTCTAGGAGGGTGGTGCTGCCCCCTGAAAAATGCCACCCTAGACAAATGCCTTTTTTGCCTTGCGGTAAATAATCCCCTGCTGCCTGGCAACATCACTCATTCACAGAGTTCTGTGAATGAGAACACTACAAGAAACATAAAAACGTAGAAATGTGATGGCAGAAAAGACCTCCAATCAACTCTTAGACCTCTCCGTACTGAGACCCACAGAATGTAACTTCACCTCTCTGCCCCCTTTTTTTCTGAACTCTCAGACAAGCCTATAAATTCAGCACTTTGAACAGCTGTAGAGAACAGAAGACTGCAGATAGACAGACACAACTTCTCTAGAGAGATTTGTTTCATCTCTGTGTATCATCTGAGGATAGTCCCATCACTGGGTATATGTGCGGGTTTACAAACCACTCCATCATTTTGCCAATTCAAGGCAAAATTGATAAGTCCTTCTCTTGACAGACCATCTTCCCACCCACCCCCCACACTCACTGATACTCTTTTTTGCTGCACTTCATGTCCTCCACTAGCTCAGTTATTTGTCAGAGCCCTTGGACATACCGAGGACATTCAGAATGGGGGATCATGTGAGTTTCCCCCTTATTCCCACCCAGGGATGGACTGACAACTCATGGGGCCCCCGGGCAATAGGGGATTATGGGGCCCCTGTGTCCTTGCCCAAACTCAAAAAAGCCTATGAAAAAGGTACAAGGGGCATTTCATGGGGCCCCCTACTGACCCCAGGCCCTCGGGCAGTGCCCGAGTTTCCAAATGGTCAGTCCGCCCCTGTTCCCACCACGCAGTGCTCAGGTCTGCGAGGTCATTCAAATGGGGAAGGTAAAAATTATTGGGTGGTATGGTGGGTGAGGGTATCAAGAGTACCTGTCACTTTGTACAGAATTATTATTATTATACAGTATTTATAAAAGTTCGCTCAGCGCTGTACATTACAATGGGAGACAGTACATGAGACGGTACAATAACAATACAATGCGATACACGAGGGGTTCGAGAGCCCTGCTCCTTGGAGCTTACAACCTAGGAGAATGGGCACTGTGATTGATTTTATTGCACATAACTCTCAGGTGGCAAAAGCCCTTCAGACAGCCCATATATTTCAAATGCGAGCTTTCTCTGACACGTTTGTACCCGATAATGAGATAACACTCAGCTCTTCAATTGGACTTAAAATAGGCCAATGATTCTCTTTCCATTTACCTTTTATTACTTTTTCCCCCTTTTCCTCTCCTTCATTTTCATCTGCTCCTTTTTATAATTGTTATGCAAATATCAAACACGGTCACACACTTAAATTTGTAAAGCAGATGGCACAATCCTGGCATTAAAGGGATTATATGAGAGAGGCACGCACCAATTTAATGAAATGTCATACGTAGGATTATAGATTTAGCCTTCAGTCCATCGGTGAATATTATTAAAAGCAGACTCCCTTTTCTGCAGACTGATTCTGCATCTCAAAGGTCACGTAACTAAAAGTCTATTATTCTTGTCTAACGCTGGATTTCCCATAATGCATTATTGCAAACCCCCATTGTACAATAGAAAACAAAAGCCTCAGAGAGAGTAATGCTTGGCATGACATTGCTTTCCTTTGGGGCTTCAGTCTCTTCCCCACGGGCCAAATCTAAAAGCTGTAACTTCCAGATTGTCTGAATCATTTTTTTTTTTATTAAAAAAATTCTAAGAAAAGGTACATCTGCTCCTGCAACCTTTTTTAAAAATACATATTATCTGCCCTTGAGGCAGCAATACAGAGTTAAATCGGTTGGAGATTTTATTACATCGTGGCTCCAGAGTATGTTTTTGGTTAATCTGAGTTGTGTTGGTGTTCTGAGACAAATGCTGTTTTATCTGGAGGCACAAAGCTTATGTAGATGAATGTGGCACTTATTTCATATGGAAGAAAGTTCAAACATTTATGATCAGTCAATATATGCTATTATATAGTTGTGTATTACTTATAGGTATGGTCTAAAATAGAGGGGTGGTTTGTTGACATTTTTATTTAAAGTGAAATTCCAGCCTTACAGATAAATTCACAACTGAAACACATATATAAGATCTGTCTTAATCTGGCCATATATTTGTAGTGCTTATCCTTGCAGGAGCCACTGGATATGATGGGTTCTCTGTTCTGCCATGACTCCTTAACCACTTCAAGTCCAAACACTTTCACCCCCTTCCTGTCCAGGCCAATTTTCAGCTTTCAGTGCTATCACACTTTGAATGATAATTGCGCGGTCATGCAACACTGTACCCATATGAATTTTGCATTTTTTTTTAGAGACAGATAAAACTTTATTTTGGTGGCATTTATTCACCACTGGGATTTTTATTTTTTTGCTACATAAAGGAAAAAGTCCAAACATTTTGAAAACATAGTGTTTTTCTTATAAAATTTTGCAAATAAATAATCTTTCTTCATACATCTTGGCCAAAATGTATTCATCTATCTTTGTAGTACAAAAAAAAAAAAACCCGAATTAGTTTATAACCAAAAATTATAATTTTTTTTAAAACTTTGACATTTTTATATTATTATTTATGGTTTTTTTTTTAACATACTGTCACCCTAGCAGTATAGTGACACTGTACTACTTGTAGGGGGTGATATTTTTATTTTATTTTTTTTTTACACTGAATGCTTTTCCATAAAAGCAATCATTTCTCATTCTCCCTGGCTGCATTCCTGCAGCCATTCAGAAATACTGTGTGAGCTGTGATTGGTCACAGCTTGTCACATGGTACAAGGCTGTTGTGAATAGCCTTGTACCATGTGATCTCTGTGATCATTCACAGATTTCACTAGTAGTAAGCAGTGATGTCAGAAGTAACATCTTGCTTACTACTATTCATGTGATCACTGATCACATGATCGGGACCTCACACAGAGGTCCCGTACAGCGATTGGTGTTCCTCCAGACACAGTGGGCATCGGATCGTGGTGCTGTGCACTTCCAGGGAGCGCACAGGTGGGGAGCGGGGAGGATGTTTATAAACGGCCACCCACTCCTGCAATGCTCCTGTCCACCCGTT